GAACAAGGCACATGTTAACCAAAAAGGCTTTCGCCCCGCTTTATATATAAAGCACAGATCACCAACAACCTAGTACAACATATGCCATCAACACACGCACACACCCAAGGCAGGATACATAGGCGCTGAGTGCAGCAACACCACCCCTAGCACTACAAGAGCCACCGGGGGCCTCAACCGTGAACACGCCACCGCGAAGAGAAGAAGCTACATATGACGCACCGTGGGCTCCAAGGCGGTGCCAACAGGAAGGTTACGACACCGAAGCGCCGCCACCGCCCGACCCAAGGATCAGAGTTTCCTCCGGAGCAACACGACGGGCAGCGAGAGTCGCGGCGACGCCTTCAAGAAGGGAACGAGCTTCGCCGTCGCCGGTCAATCCGAAGATAGAACAGGTTTTCACCCCGACCAATATTCACCGCCACCGAACGCTGCACCCTGGCTACCACGCCGCCCACACGGCCATGGCCACCAGGCAGCACCAAGTCACGGGCTTTGCCCAGGAGCACCGCGACACCACCACCAGGGCCGCCGCCCCAGCATCCATGACCTTGACGCCACCTCACCCGCCATCCACCACTACCCCACCCAAAGAGACGAATGGAAAGGAACTGCCTTTCGCACTCCTGAGCCGTCCCTAGTGTCGAGACCCGAATCTAGCCATACCTGGCCACCATCGACCCGTCCTGCTGCCGGGCACGAGACGAGCTCAGTCCTGCAGCCGGGCGCGAGACCAGTCAGATCCTGCCGCCGGGCGCGAGACGGGCTCGGTCCTGCTGCCGGGCGCTAGACAAGTCCGGTCTTGCTGTCGGGCGCTAGACAAGTCCGGTCTTGCTGCCGAGCGCGGGACGAGCTCGGTCCAGTCGCCAGGCGCGAGACGGGCGATGGGCGCCGCTGGGAGAGGGCCAACCCTCTGATGAAGGTAGCACCTGAACGACGGGGAGTGGAGTCGAAGGTCGTCCAGGGCACTCACCGACAGGCAGACGCCGAAGAAGTCCGGCCGCCACCGTGAAATGACCCAGACCACCGCCATGGGCCACCACCATGCCGTGGAAGCCCACATCCATGCCGGGACCCCGAGGGACTGCTCAGAGCCACCCGCCGACAGCCCTGAGCCAGATCCAAGGAGCAGGCCGGCAACCGCCGCCGTCCCCTCCTGAATCCGCGACAAATCCAACCGGATCTGGCCGGAGACCGGCTCACTCGCAACCACCAGCACCGCCGCCACCGCATCAGATCTGCCGCCGCCACGGGTGCGCCCACCACCACGAGGCCCTCCACGCCGCCACCCCGGACCAGCAGCCCCGCCCCCGGACCAGCAGCCCCGCCGCCGGACCAAGCAGCCACGCCGCCGCGCCCCCCGAAAGAGCAGCGCCGCTGACCGAGCAGGGCGCCCCGCGCCGCCGCCGCCCGAGCCGAGAGAGACGAGGCCCCGCCGTCGCCAGCACTAAATGGGCTTCGCCCGCCGGTGCGAACGGGCGGCGGCGAGGGAAGAAGATGAGGGGAGGGGACCGACCGACGACGCCCTAGGATTCCCCAAGGCACATGTTTCAGACCTGCAGATTCTAGAATGCCCATCGATCTCATTGCCGAGAGAACAGCTATCCTATCAGATTATCTGGTGGTATGCTGTCACGCACATCCGAGAGCCAAAGATCAAAAAGCTTATGTGCGTCTCTATAGCCAGTGAAATCCTCAACTTTTCTCAAATGAAGTAAAGTATAACTTGTTGGATACTGTTGCTTTGTACAAAAGGTGCTGAAAGTCTGAAGTGCTCTCCAACAGCATGTTCAGATGACCCGGTTTACAAGCAAAGGCAGGCCCAAGAAAAGAAAAGAAGAAAATCCAAAACGAAAACCCAGACGGCTTTTGGGTCAACCACCTTTTACACGTCGGAAATAATTGGGAACGGAAAGTTCAGTTGGAAAAAAAAGCATTAAGAGCAACTCTAATGGGGCGACCCATTTCGTCCGTCCATGTCTGCTTGGGTCTGCGCGGACAAAACGACTGCCCAATGCAGAGACCCATTTTCAAAAGACAGCCGCTTTCTGTCCGTGCGGACCCATTTACGGTCTAAATTTGAGTCATATTTGGGTCCGAGGTGGACACAAAGCAGACGTTTTCTGCCTCCCTCTCGTCCGCCTCTGTCCTCTCCCGATCCCGCGTGGCCCACCTGCCATCCACTTGCATATTTTTTTTAGTGTTTGCTGAAACTGAACGGAGGGCCGGGATGAAGGGCGCGACCGCGATGCTGGCGACGGAGCTCGACGGGCTGCTCGCCATGGCAAGGAAGCTGGAGGCGCGGGTGGGCGCCGATCACGGGCATGCCGGTGCGTCACGCTGGCCGCGCCCATCGACCTGGGGCCGCTCGAGCAAGTGCAGCTAGTCCAATGGCTGCGTGCGTGCGTAGCTAGCTAGTCTAATGGATGCGTGCGTGCGTAGCTAGCTGGTCCGGTGGCTGCGTACGGGCGTAGCTAACTGGCTCGTTGTGGCCTTCGCTCGCCCCGCTCGCCATGGCCGCGTACGCCCCGCTCGCTCTGCCGTGCAGCAGCTGGAGCCCGGCATGGCTCGGAAGGAGCAGCTCGCCTGCTGCAGCTGTCGGCCTCCCCGCTCGCGCCCAAGTTGCAGCGTCGTCCGCTCTGGTCCGTCCGTTGTAGCTCACGCGCCTAGCCGCCCAGACGCGGAGCGCCGCGTGCCTAGCCGCCTCGCCGCGCCCAGCCGCCATGCTCGCCGCCCGCCCAGCCGCCTCGCCTCGCCGCGCCCTGTCGGGACGCGCCGCCGTGTCGGACCGCTCATCCTGCTTCGTCTCGCCGGCGTGGGTTCGAGCTCGACCGCCGGCCTCGCCTCATGCCCGCACCCGCCCTCGCGCCCGGCCGATGCTCCTGCAGACATTGACCTCGTCTCCTTGCGCACAGCCGCTGCGAGCTCCGCTGCCCACTACGTGTTTGACAAAATGCCGGGGCGGACATGTAAAAATGGTTAGGCTGCCATTGGGCACACCGGCTGACCCAAATGAAAAAGCAGACAAATATGTCCGCGCGGCCGACCCAAACAGACAAAAATGGACAAAGTGCACATCCGTTTGAGTCGGCCCCTTGAAGTTGCTCTAAAGTATACAAATTGTGTAAAGGAAATTCCAGACTTGTTGTGTTCCTCAAGTGCCATCGGGAATCCAGCAAACTTCACATCAAGGATTTGTTTGGTGTGTGCTACGTTGAAAGCAACACCCTCAACCTTCCCCCTGGATACGGGAGACTTTCCGCCGCTCTGGTATGAATCTCTGCATCCGTGTACTCAGTTCATCCAGATTTTTTGGGTTCCCTGCAAGCTTGGATTTGTCCCCAATATATGCGTTTTTTGCCAACAATATCTGAGAGGTGCCACTCTTACGGAAGCATCGAAGTAACTCCAAACGGGTGACCCATTTTATGTGTTTGGATCATCCAGACATAAAACTTGGTCCAACGGGGTGATCCAAACAGACACAGCGTCCGCCTGTTGTCCGTTTTGTGTCCGATTGGATCCAAATTTGGGTCATATTCCACGGCGAACACAAGGCGGCTGTTTTCTGTGGCCTCCTTGTCCGCCTTTGTACATTGCATGCGAGCACTGGCCCACCTGTCATCGAGGGGCTACCCATCCATCCCACATCCGTCTCTCTCCTCCTTTTCTCTCTTTCTCGATGCCACCGGGCATGCCGATGCGGGCATGGTGCCGGCTGCTTCAGCCTCTGTCGCGAGCGAGGTGTCGCTTCCTCCTCTCGTTGCCAAGGCAAGCAGCCGCCGCCTCCTCCCGCTGCCGGCGCACAACGGTCAAGCGCTCGTCGTCGCGTCCTACAACCACGCGCACCACTGGCGGATGACCGTGCGCGTACTAGCTAGCTAGCTAGCCACCGTTGGTGGAAAATGCATGCTGGTGCTTGTGCTGATGCTGCTGGCTGCGCGCATGCTAGCTAGCTAGCTAGCCGCCGCTGCCCAGCGTGCGTGCTGGTGCTACTGCCAGCAGCCGATGGTCGCGCGCCTGCTAGCCAGCCGCCGCTGGTCGCGCCTCGCTGCGGCTTCGCTTCGCCCCGCCCGTCGCGCCTCGCCCCGACCTCGTCTCGCCGTCCCAACTGCGCAGCCTTGCCTCGCTGCACCCGGCCACGCCCGTCCTCGACTCGCCGCGGCCTCGCCTCACCCGTCCTCGACTCGCCACGCCCGGTCGCCCTGTCGTGCATGTCCTCGAGTCGCGGCGCTTGCCGTGCCTGCAGCGTCCGAGCACATCGGCATGGTCGCACCCTTGCGTGCATGCGCGCTAGGTAGCTACATGCCATCGCTGGAGCTGGCCATCGCACAGGGTGGGCACGAGTGCGCAATGCGGGGCAGGTGCACTTCGGGCGAAAGCTACGGGACGGGGCGGGAGCTCGTTGGATCACCGGGCGAGAGCTGCGGGCGGAAGCAGCAAGGTCGGGGTGAGCTGCGGTGAGGTGGCGTGGCAAGCTGCGGTGGGCGAGGTGGCGCGGGAGCTCGCCCTCCAAGTGTTTCACGAAATGGCGACGCGGACATGTCTAAAATGCATGCTGCACCCGTTGGCCGAACCGGCCTACCCAAACAAAAATAGACACGGACACACGACACACGGACGGGCGATCCAGACGGACAAAAAGCGGACAAAATCCTTGTCCGTTCGAGTCACCCCCTTGAGTTGCTCGCAATTCCTGACTCAGCAAGTTTCCAATATGTGGTCAAATCAAATTAAGAGGGAGTAGCTCGGTTCAGCTGAAGACCGGTCATGACACCAAGGAAACAGGAAAGAAAGAAAATGAAATGAAGGTGACTCATCGCACATTGCCCAAGGCTCCAATACGATATACTTTTATTCAGCCGTAGCAGCAAGTCATTGCCGCAGTAGCAGTAGTACACACCATAATCCATGATCTAGGCCAAATAAATCACACTCTTAATTCAAGCACGCAAAGCAACTCCTTTGACTTCTAGTTTACTCATTCGTAGGCTCTGTTGTTAGATGGCGAGGACGAGGCCCTGCAGCGACTTGCACGCGCGGTCGCTGCGGCGGCTCTGCCACAGGCACTTGGGCCACTTGGGCGTGTGCGCCGGCGAGGAGAGGCCCGAGAACATGGACGAGGAGGGGGAGGAAGAGGCAGAAGAAGAGGAGAAGTGGCTAGGGGAGCCCGCACTGACGTTCTTGGTGGCCGCCGCGGCGGAGAGGCGGGTGACGGTGAGGTCGGTGTTGAAGTACTCCCTGAGCTGGGTGATCACCCCATCGGGCCCGACGGTCCAGGCGTGCACCCAGTAGAGGAGCTGGTCGGCGCCGTCGGCGCTCCCCTCGGCGATTACGGTGGAGACGAAGGCGTCGATGGAGCGGGGGCAGAACCTGAACTCGGTGTTGGTGCCGGCACTGGTGAGGAGGCGCATCATGTGCTGGTGCGCGGGCGGGCCATGGAACCACCACTCGAGGTCTGGGGCGAGCAGGTCCTGCGCCCGGCGTGTGTTGCGGGAGTTAAGCGCCTCGTAGAGGCGCAGCACGAGGAACTTGCCGCGCTGCTCCTCCATTTCCCCTGCCAGCTCCGCGTCCGTGTCGACGTGCGGCGCCGGCGCCACCGCGAGGGTCTGCTGATGGTTAGTGTTAGACTTTATAACGTAGCCCAACTGTGTAATATGTACATTGTGTATCATTATAAATACATGTGATAGGCCACCCCTAGAGGGTTGAGCCAGTTCCCACAAATCCTACGCCTAATATGGTATCAGCCTAAAACCTAGGACCTAATCCACCTCCACCCCAGCCGCCGCTGCCGCCGTGCCCTAAACCCTATGGCCGCCGCCGCCGCTGCTGCCATGTCTGCTTCCGCATCTAGCTCCGCCAGCTCCGGGACCATACCCGCATCGCTGGCTGCCCTGCTGAATCTTCCTGCTCGCACTGGTGCCTCGCCGACGCCGCACTTCTTCAGCACCAAGGCGATGGGCTCGCTGTTTTCCGCCCCGATCTCGCTGTCTCGTGTGTCGTCGACAGCGCCGGCCTCCACCGCCGCGATGGTAGCGCCATCGGCCTCCACCACTAGCTCGTCCCCGACGCTCGCCCTCCTGTCGGCGGCCTCGGGGGGCTCCGATGATCAGCCTGCGGGTGGGCCACCTGCAGCCCCGCCAGTCGCTGCCACCGACGCCGCCATGATCTCCGCGTCATTCCACTTCGACAACCTCATCACGACTCGTCTCACGCTGGACAACTATTTGTTTTGGCGTGCCAAGGTTCTAACGCTGCTCCGCAGCCGCCCCCTCCTTGGTTATGTCGATAGCTCCCTACCGTGTCCGCCGCAGGTTCTTCACACCGTCCACGGCCCGGCCATCAACCCGGCGCACTGACTGTGGGTGCAACAGGACCAAGCGATCCTCTCTGCCATCCAGGGTTCCCTTGGAGACGGGGTCGCTGGCCTCTGTCTCTTTGCTGCCTCCTCCTTGGATGCGTGGACGACGCTGGAACATGCGTTTGCCCAGACCTCCGCCGCCCACTCGATGGCTCTTCACAGCAAGCTTGATGATGTCAAGAAACTGGATTCCTCGGTCACAACATACTTCAACAAGCTCAAGGTCTTGGCGGATACATTAACCTCTATCGGTCGACCATTGAGTGATGAGGAGTTCACCGGCTATATTATTAAGGGTCTTGATGCTGAATACAACAACCTTGCCGAGGCCGTCCACAACGCCAAGCCGCCGCTGCCGCCGCACGAGCTCTTCTCCCGGCTGCTCTTCACTGAGCAACGCATCGAAGCTCGCCGCGCCACCAATTCCATCGCCGACCAGCCCGCGGCCTTCTGGGCCTCGCGGGGTCAGCGCCCCCCTGCATCCTCGCCGCCTGCCCGCGTCACCAACCCGCCAGCGCCAACCTCGGGCGGCGGCCCTGTACGCTGTCAGCTTTGTGGGCGTGAGAGGCATGTTGCCTCCAAGTGCCACAAGAGGTTTCAGTGGAGCTTCCTGGGTATTGGTAACGATGGAAAAGGTAATGAGCGACAGTTTGCCATGGCGGATTTTGGCCCTCCTGCTGCTCATGTTGCCACCAAGAGCAAGGATACACGCGTCGACCCCGGATATACACCGTCATATCCGATTGATCCTGCATGGTATATGGACACTGGCGCCACCAATCACATGACGAACGAGCTCACCAAGCTGTCCACCCATCAGCCATACTACGGTCCCGACAAGGTTCACACCGCCAACGGTGTAGGTATGCCCATCTCTCACATTGGTCAAGCATCTCTCTTAACTAGTCATCCATCTAGGCAGCTTCATCTTCGTAATATTTTACGAGTCCCCTCGGTGACTCTTAATCTGTTATCTGTTCCAAAGCTCACTCTTGATAACAATGTCATATGTGAATTTCACCCGTTTGATCTTTTTGTTAAGGACCGAGCCACCCGGGAAATTTTGCTTAGTGGTCGTCTCAGCCATGGCTTATACCGCTTGAAGGATCCATCCGCCCCGCGCGTCTTCAGTGGTGTTCGTGTGTCGCCGTCCCAGTGGCACTCTCGCCTTGGTCACCCTGCCACTCCCATAGTTCGTCATATCCTTCACCGTCATGAGCTGCCTCTTGAGTCTAGTAATAAGGAGATGTCTGTGTGTGATGCCTGTCAACAAGGCAAAAGTCATCAGTTACCATTTGTTTCTTCTACTCGTCAAGTAATGAGTCCTCTTGAACTTGTGTTTTCTGATGTGTGGGGTCCTGCTCAAACTTCTGTGAGTGGTCACAACTATTATGTTAGCTTTATTGATGCCTATAGTCGCTTTACCTGGCTTTATCTTCTTAAGCGCAAATCCGATGTGTTTGGTATATTCATTCAGTTTCAAGTACATGTAGAGCGTCTTCTCAAGCATAAGATTATTCCTGTTCAGTCTGATTGGGGGGGGGGCGAATATCGCAACCTCAATGCTTTCTTTAATAATCTTGGGATCTCTCATCGTTTATCATGTCCTCATACACATCAGCAGAACGGCGCTGTTGAGCGCAAGCATCGACATATAGTTGAGACCGGACTCACACTCCTGGCTCATGCGTCTGTACCTTTTCATTTTTGGAGTGATGCCTTTGCTACAACATGTTTTCTTATTAACCAACTACCTACGCGTGTTATTAATATAAAAACTCCTATTGAGCTCCTTCTACATGAAATTCCTGATTATACATTATTTAAGGTGTTTGGGTGCGCTTGTTGGCCTCATCTCCGTTCATATAATTCTAGAAAACTTGAATTTCGGTCTAAAATGTGTGTTTCTAGGTTATAGTTCTCTCCATAAAGGTATAAGTGCCTCCATGTGCCAACAAACCGTGTCTATATATCCCGTGATGTTGTCTTTGATGAGAATGTCTTTCCCTTTTCCTCCATGCCGCACCAACCTGCCACACCACCATCTATGCATTCATCTCTTATTATGCTTGGCCAATTTGAAGATGTTGCATATTCGCCTGTGTTGTTACCTAACCATGGTGCAGGTATTGGACGCGGTGCTCGCCTGGAACTTCTTCCGGATACAACTCCCATCGCGCATGTTGACCGGTCAGTGCACGTGCATGCACCCGCCGTCGACCCCGCCTCTGGCGACGTGCCTGTCCATGCAACTGGACCGGCGCTGGCCTCCGACCCTGGGCTTGTGTCATCCGAGGCGTCGTCCACGCCAGGCGAGGCGCGGCCCACGACAGACGAGGCGCGGCCCACGACCCCGACGCCCTCCCCTGGGCAGCTCGAGGGGTCTCCGTCTACGCCTCCACGCCCGGCCTCGCCCCCGTCATCGTCTTCGTCACCCGCCACTATGTCCATGTCGCCCCTTTCGCCTGGGTCGGCTGGGCCTACTGTCGACTCGCCTGAGCCCTCGCCTGGGCCCCCGTCACCCGCTCTGCCGTCATCATCCCCTGTGTTGGCGCCGCCGGCTCCTGTTCCCGTTGCACCGCAACGCCCGCATACTCGTAGTCGCAGCGGTATTGTCCAACCCAAGCAGCGTCATGATGGTACTGTCACATATTTGGCTGCTTGTCTTGCTCATTCTGTTGCAGATCCCACTGATGAACCACGCCATTATGAGGCTGCTATGCGTATCCCTCACAGGCGGGCAGCTATGGAGCAAGAGTATCATGCTCTTCTGCATAATGAGACATGGACATTGGTTCCTCCTTCGCCTCGTGTCAACATCATTGATTCGAAATGGGTTTTCAAAGTCAAGAGACATGCCGATCGGTCTATTGAGCACTACAAGGCGCGCCTCATGGCCAGAGGGTTTAAACAGCGACAGGGTCTGGATTACGAGGATACGTTCAGCCCGGTTGTCAAGCCTACTACCATCCGGCTTCTTTTGTCTCTTGCAGTCTCTCGTGGTTGGTCTCTACGTCAGCTTGATGTACAGAACGCTTTTCTCCATGGGTTGCTTGAAGAGGAGGTTTACATGCGGCAGCCACCAGGGTTTGTTGATCCAGCTCAGCCTCATCATCTCTGTCGTCTGACGAAGGCACTCTATCGACTGAAACAGGCGCCTCGTGCCTGGCATGCTCGTCTTGCTTTGGCACTTTGTACTCATGGATTCATTCCGTCGACAGCTGACAGTTCACTGTCCTATTTCAGTGCCCCAGTCTGACTGTGTATTTGCTTGTGTACGTGGATGATATTATTCTGGTCAGTTCTTCTGAGACGGATGCTGATGCTCTTGTGACTACTCTTGGCAGAGATTTTGCAGTTAAAGACTTGGGACGGTTACACTTCTTTCTATGCATAGAGGTTGCACATCAGTCTCGTGGCAGCTTGGCCCTCACCCAGAAAAAGTACTCCCTTGATCTCTTGCACCGTGCTGGTATGCTCAAGTGTAAGCCGTCACCCACGCCCATGTCCTCTACCGATAAGCTCTCGGCCAATGCTGGTTCTCCTCCTTCTTCTACGGATGCTACGGAGTATCGGAGTATTGTTGGTGGCTTGCAGTATCTGACTATCACCCGTCCTGATCTTTCCTTTGCGGTTAACAGGGTATGTCAGTACCTTCATGCTCCTACAGATGTGTACTGGTCTGCTGTGAAGCGCATTCTTCGTTATGTGCGTCTCACTGTCTCCTACGGTCTTCATTTGCGACCCAGTTCCTCTACTATTCTCTCTGCATTCTCAGATGCTGATTGGGCTGGGTGTCCGGATGACAGGCGATCCACAGGGGGACATGTTGTATTTCTGAGTCCTAATTTGATCACCTAGAGTGCACGCAAGCAAGCCACTGTTTCTCGCAGGAGCACAGAGGCTGAGTACAAAGCAGTTGCCAATGCAACTGCTGAGCTTATCTGGATTGAATCTTTGCTTAGAGAACTGGGAATCTCCCAGTCACATCCTCCAGTTCTTTGGTGTGACAACATCGGTGCTACGTTTCTTTTGACAAACCACCGGTGTTTCATGCACGAACCAAGCACATTGAGATTGACTATCATTTTGTGAGGGAACGTGTTGCACAGAAGCTACTACAGATCAAGTTTATCTCCTCAAAGGATCAACTTGCCGACATCTTCACCAAGCCTCTACCTTCTCCCA